AGCATCTACCTTGTGGCATTGCTGTGAAGGATTCGTGAGAGAAGAACACCATGGGACATGGATCTTGTACACGACAACTTTGTTATAATCGGTAGAAGGTTGGTCAGGCAAGTCAGTGTGACAGAGAGGCCAGCTGCCACTCAGGCCACACAATTCTGTGTTCCCCTTACTAACAAGAAAGAGGGAAGGCCCATGGTGGGCAGCCAGAGCCAAGCTTTTCTAATTGTGGTCTGTGGATCAAAGGTATACAAGACTACCTGGACATCACCAAGGAAATGCAGGGTCCTGGGTCCTTCATGAACCCACTGAATCACTTCTATGCATAGGATTTAGAAATCTGATTTTCCCCTCATTTTCTAAGGCTAAAGATTAAGCCTAGGGACCTTGTGCATGCAAGATATGGGCCCTGTCAGCTATCTGCCCACGTTTCTTTCTGTTTTTCATTTTGAGATAAAGTTTCTTTAAATGTCTGGGCAGGCCTCCTGAGCAGCTGAGATTACAGGCCTGTACCGCTGAGCCCAGCAGGAATCAGATTCTTTATGGACCTTAAAGGTTTAAAACCCCTGGATCAGGGGCAGAGCTGAGCCATGCCCATGGGTAACCCTGCACACCAGCACAGCCCCTGGCATGGCAGGTATGCCCACTCATACCTGTCGGCCTCACCAGCATTCCTTGAACAGGGTTAGAGGGGTGGCGTTGAGTGGCTCAGCAGACACCGTGTCTCTGCAGGTTACATTTGGACGTACCCTTCAGGAAAGGCAGCTCTTTCCCTTCACTATAAACTTGCCTGGTTAAGACACTTTGCTCTGGTTTTTCTATTCCTCCCCTATTCCACTGGGGCCACCCAGTGTTACCCTCAGACTTAGCTCAGGCGACTCTGAACTCAGGCTCCCATCATTCAGAGGGTCCTTGTTCAGGATTCTCTTCATGCCCGAATCTGTTCCGAGCCTCATGTTCTGCGTTCTCGAGCCCTTCTCACATACTCCCTGGCTCAGGAAAACTGGAGGCCACAGGACTGTGTAGCCCACCTTGTTTCTAAAGATCCTGCCCCCCACCCCCAAGGTGGGTCTAGTGGTGTCCATCCGTTAAATACTGAGTCAGATACTGTCATTTACAAAGTTCACAGTCAAGATGTATTAAGTTACAAAAAAAAAAAGAAGAGAAAAAAAATCTTCAAAAAAACCCTCCTTATAATCTGTTAAGTAAGTTTATAATTTTATGTTGGTTTGCATTCATGGTTATTCTAGAGTAGATGTGCCTGCATGTAAGTCTTCAAGGTTGAGACCCTGCCATCTTGAAATAGTAGTTATAAATTCTAGCCTGTTCTCTAGGCTTTTCAGACGTCACCCAATGCTGGATTCCTATCTCTTAGGACGCCTTCCCAGTGAGGAGCACAGGCCTGCTGGAGAGCCCGGCATGACTCTGCCCCTTGGTAGCTGTGGCACCACAAGTAAATGGTCCCTCCCCTGAGCCTCCGTCCTCCATCTGACCAGCCCCTGTTCACCACTGCTGGCAGACTTAAAGCTGAGCCCAGTGCCTGGATACAGAAAGGACCAGAAACACTGGTGACTAGGACAATAGCTGCTCTGTCTCCAGACCTTCAAAATGCAAACAGAGCCCCATGACAAAGCAAAAGTGCCACAGGAGGGCATTTGGGGCATCACAGCCTCCTCAGTGCTCAGTAGCACTCACTGAAAGCCCGGAGGTGGACCACGGCTGGGCCTCATTTCATCCCGCCCTTAAAAAGGCTGGTGCTTTATCACCCCTTTTACAAGTGAGGGAACTGAGGGGCAAGGCACAGCACTGATCAGTAAGACGATCAGAATTTGGATCTCAGATTGCAGAATCTATGTGTTTAGCCATCATGTCATGTTGCTTTTCGTGTGTGTGTGTGTGTGTGTGTGTGTGTGTGTGTGTGTGTGTGTGTGAAAGAGAGAGTATTCACTCGTGTGGATGCAGGCGTGCACTTGCATTGGTGTGCATATAGAGGTCAGAGGACAATGTTAGGCGTTGGCCCTTGCTTCCACCTTGTTTATGGTTCCGTTGCTCCTTGGCGTGTATACAGAGTCTCTGGCCCACAAGCTTCTGGTGATTCTCCTGGTTGTGCTTCCCATCAAACACAGGAGTCCAGAGATTATAGATGTGTGCTGTCATGCCTTTACAGGGGTGCTGTGAGTCCAAGCCTGGTCCCTATGTGTATGTGACAATGGCTATGCCCACTGAGCCATCCCTTACAACGCTCCTGTGACTTAGGAATTAAAGCAGTTGCGTTCCCTCCTCAGCCTCTGTGCCTTCTGTCCCTGCAGCCCATGCACTCGAGCTGGCTCCTCTGCCTTGGGCTCCTTTGTCAACCTTTCATCCCAATCCTATGCTGCTGCCTATATACTCAGCAGCTCCTTCCCCCACCGGCCCCCCACCCTCGTTCCCTGATTGGGCTGGAAGCAGTCACCTTTGATAATGGACATCTTGTTTGTAACTGATAAAAAACGAAAACCCCAAAACAAAAACCTGCTTGCCTATGAGCCCTCCCTTCCTTCCTTCCTTCCTTCCTTCCATCCTTCCTTCCTTCCTTCCTTCCTTCCTTCCTTCCTTCCTTCCTTCCTTCCTTCCTTTTTCTTTCCTTTCCTTTCCTTTTCTTTTCTTTTCTTTTCTTTTCTTTTCTTTTCTTTTCTTTTCTTTTCTTTTCTTTTCTTTTCTTTTCTTTTCTTTTTCTGAGGCCCAGCTGTTCTAGAGATCTGGCCTCGAGCTCACAGAGATCTGCCTGCTTCTGCCTCTCAAGTGCTGGGATTAAAAGCGTGTACCACCACCACCTGGCATGCATCCTTTTACTAAGGAAAAAGATTTACCCATTTGTAGTCTGTGTGCAGTGACTAGAGATTAGCTTTACTTAATGCAGGGTATGCCCATGTCATGAATGGCTATGGACTCCTGTCCTAGCAGCTGAAATCGAGGGGTACTGTGTCAGCTAGGCAATGCCTTGGCAATGCCTGCACTCCTGGCCGCTGGCACACAGGTTAGAAGGTCCTTGATTGTTAGCTTACACAGAGTGCATGTCTACGTAAGGCTGGTTTCAGCTTCTCTCCCTGGATTGGACGTTCCTTTGACAGTGTAGACCAGGTGTCCACCTGCCACCATGCCTGAAAATGGCATCGGCGTGATAGGTGCCACTCACCTGTGACTCACACTACTTAACCAGGACATGCTTGCTTAAACCCCTTTAAGAACCAGGCAAGGACGTGCAAACACAAAATTGCTTTCTCGTTTACCTTTCCATGTAGCACTTTTTCTTTAAATGAAGTGTTTGTTTCGTTAGCAAATCCGCATGTCCACACATTAAAAGACAGTTCAAACAAGGAGAAATTTGTCCCTGCACCCCCAGCTGGCTGTCCTCATACTGTTGGACTTGCCTTCTGAGATACAACGTTAAGAGGAGACTTTCCTGGGAAGCCCTGGGTGATCGACACAAAGGAAGCAAAGGCACAGGGAGTTGGTGGTGTGAATCAGATTCTCCACCAAGCCACAGTTATTCACATAGACAGCGGTGCTTGTGAGGGCAGCCTTCCTGGATCTCCCAAAGCAAGGCCATTTGTTCTCTCTCTCTCTCTCTCTCTCTCTCTGTGTGGGTACTCCCAGGTACACACATGTACATGTGCATGCAGAGGCCACAGGACTACCCTAGCTGTCACATCTCGGGAGCTGTCCACATTAGGTGTTGCTTGCATGCTGTCTGGTTCCTGTTTTTGTTCTGTTGGTGTTTTGAGCTTGGAGCTCAGAGCGTGGACTACACTGGCCGGCTGGTGGCCCTTAGGGATGTACTTGTCTCTGCCACTCTGGCAATGGGCTTTCAGGCCTTCACCACCGACCCCGACTCCAAAACCAAACAACAGACAGCAACAACAAAAAGAGTGGCTCCTGGAGATGCAACTTTAAGCGTGTATGGCAAGCATTTTGCCAGCTGAGCCTGTCCTTTCAACGTTTTGCCACAGTGCCAACCCATGGCAGCAGTTGGGGGAGAGTAGAATGAGGCAACCTCTCTTGGGATGCCTGTCTCTCCCCACTGCAGCATGGCGAGCCAACCCCTCCCCCCAACCCCCATAGGTGACATCCCCAAAGAAAGGGAAAGCAAAGGTACTGGCCGCCAAAGCAGACAGGAAGGAAGAGAGGGGACGGTGGATGCTAAATGGGCTAAAGAAAGCATAGAAGTTTAAATTCTTCGGAGACACGGAGTTCTCTTGGGACTGAGCTGGGAGGTGAGGTTTCTGCAAAATGACTGTTGATTAAATGCCTGAAATTCCCACACTAGCACCCAGAGGTCTAAGAGTTTCGAGGCCTCCTGTCCTGTCCAGGAGCCTTGCACACTTTTGGTATTCACCAGTCCCTAAAGGATGTATCCTGGGATGAGCCTGTGACTATGAAAGAGGATTAGAAGGTAATGAGCCACTCAGTCGACAGAGCAGGGAGCTCTGGAGTCCACCCTATCAAAACCTTCAGCTTTTCTGTCAGACAGCCGATAAAAACCTAAGCTTCCCATGGGTTTTTCGACGCAGCTGAGTTTCTAGGCTGTTGGGTAGAGTGAGCGTGACACAGCAAGATACTGCCAGCCAGACCCACTCTGGCTGCAGCTTTGAGCTCCCACAGATCTCAAAGTCAATCTCTGGGGCTGCCATCAATCAGGTGATCCCCACCCCCTCCGGTTTTCTGAGGCAGGCGCTGGTGGGATGATGATAGGGAAGCCCGGTGTAGGGTTACTTGTGCAGTCTCTAGCCTGTAAGTGCTGTTTTTTTCATGTCTGTGCTCTCAGCAGGCCTTTCCTCCAGGGCCGGCTGCACCTCAGTTCAAGGCAGCCTGAGGGGAGCCCACCCAATACACTGACAAGCATGCTGGCTCCGTGCTGTTTAAAACACTTCTCTACCCGCACAGGTTCCTCTTTTCTTCCCTGTCTCACGACCTTTATACAAACAGCCAAACACAGCTCTGGATGTAACCCCCTGAATTCTTACCTGAAGGGCTGGCAGGCTGGGGGCTATCCTCCCTCCACTTGTTCTCGAGGGGGGTGGGATCCACTTGGTGGCCTTTGCTCCGCGCTGAGGCTGCCTCTCCAGCGGGCTCTGCGAACCTCAGGATGACTGCAGCTCTGTATGGGGAGAGGGACGGGCTGTGGCATTCACATCAGGTTGCTGGCCCGCCTCCAGACACCATGCCAGTCCCAGAGGGCTGTGTGGGAAGCAGGGAGGCGGGTGGGGGAGCGGAGGGCGCTGGCCTACAGGTCTGCCTGTGGCCCCTGTTCCTCAGCAGAGGGGACACCCCGCGCCTGCAGACCACCACACAGCCCCACCCCAGCACAGTCAATGGATACAAAGCTCCAAGTGCCCCTAGCTCTTGAAAGCCTGCAGCAGACATGGGGACTACAGAGACAGCAGACAGTGGCAGCGACTACCTTGGGTGTTATTTTAGCATGGTTTGTCTTGGGGCAGAAGCCTAAGCCCAATGGACTACCGTCTGAGCAGAATCCTGTTTATTTTGAGGCCTCTGTCACCAGGGAAACAACTGGTTGTGTTGAAACACTCCTAAAATCAGACTGCTGGTAAAAGGGAGCCCTTCTCTGTTCTGTCCTCCATCCCCACGCAGGGTGTAGGTGTCTGTGTGTGGCAGTGTCTGTCTACACCATTTCCAGAGCCAAGCCTTACCAAGTGCATTCTGTGAAAGTAGGCAAGCTAGTGGGCACCAGGTTAGGGCGGGGGGGGGGCAGCAAAGAGCGTCCCCAGCATTCCTCACCAGAGTTCCCACTTATTCCAGCTAGACCAGGGGAGTCCTCAGGTGAGCTTGGGACTTCCCCAGTGGACCATGGATGTCATCTTCTTACCTCAGAGAAGGATGGAAGGTTGCCATCTGTATTCTGGCTTGAAGATAGGGAATGAAGTGGACTCAGAGGATATGGATCAGAAACTATGATTAATTGTTTCCTATCATTGGTGAAGAGAACCTCCCTTCTACCAGGCAGTTCAGCCTGGGAGGCATGACTGAGCATTCATGTGTGTGTGAGCCCCAGCCTGCCCACCTGGTGGTTCAGAGAGAGAAAAGCACGTGGACCTCGGGGGGACTGAAAATACACCCTGAGGTCTCTTTCCTGGACCAGTTGGAGTTGCTCTGGCGCAGTGAATATAGTAAGAGCAGGCTAGGGGCGGGTCTGCTTGGCCTCTAGCTTGTGGTACTATTTTGAAGGCCAGGAAGTCTTTAAGAGGTGGGCCTAGTTGATGGAACATGGCCAGTAGAAGCAGGTCTTTGAGGATTGTATCTATCCGTGGCTCAGCAGACATACCTTGTGAACAGCTACCACTCTGCTCTCCTGTCACCATGCCTCCCCCACCACTGATAGACTGAAATGTCTCTGAAGCCGCAGCGAACCTTTTCTCCCAGAAGTAACATAAAAGCAATGCTGCTTTCTTACAGTAACATAAGCGTAACACTGGGGGTCGGATCTGTGGCCTGAAAGAGCATCCAGGGCCACTCCTGGACTTTCAGAATGAGGAGTCCCGAAGAGCTCAGCTCCCGGAGCTGGGGCAACATGCTCAGACAGTGCATGGCTCTGACGCTGGCCTCTCAGTGGAGAGGGTTCTCAGAGGGACACCATCACATCTGAACCTAGTCTTCCTGGAGAGAACAGAGAGGACAGGCTGGCCATGTTCCTAGCTAGAAAGGAGTGAGCTTCTGCCCCACTGTAAGTGTCATACACAGAACCCAGGACTGTGGGGGGCGGGGGGACGTTACACGGAGCCGCCCTCAAGCACAGCGCTGTGTGTGAATGTATCCCTCTCAACGTCCTACTTCAGGAGAGTGGGTCAGTGTTGAAATCCAGAGTTCTGGGTACAAGAAAATACAGCCTTGAGACTCGTTCGGATGAGGGCTTGTGTTTCTTGTTGTATCTGGAGCTGAGGGAGAGGAGCTAATCCTTGAAGGAAATGACAGTGTGCTCGTTTTGGAGCTGGTCGCCTTGATTCAACAAGCACAAGGCGTTCAAATCGGAAGGGGCTTGTGGAGATTTGAATGAGATGTGTCCCGTCCCCAGTCTCCCCACCCCCCACCCCTGGCATTTGGCTATTTGGTCCCCAGTTGGTGGTACTGTTTGGGTAGGCTCAGGGGTGTGGCTTTGCTGGAGAAAGGATGCTGATGAGAGTGGGCTTTGAGGTTGCCTTGCTTTGTGTTTCCTGCTTGGGGTTTTAGATTTGAGCTCTCAGCTTGCTGCCCCAGCTGCTGCCATGCTTTCCTGCCATGCTGGCGATGGGATTATCGTTCTGTGAGCCGGAAACCCTTCTTTTTGTAAGTTGTTTTTGGCCACGATGCCTTATCGCAGCAATAAGAAAAGGAACGAAATGGCAGTGTGGCTGGCATCTGTGTGTCTAAGAAGGAACTGATTGGCACCCTGGCGGATCTGACCTGAGAACTGTCCAGCTATGGAAACGAAACCACCTGGTAGAGAATCTTCGTAACATGTTAATGATGTGCTGAAAGACCCTTTCTGAACCAAAGGCACCAACCCAGAGTCCACACCCCCACCCGAAGTCGCTGTGTGACTAACCCCCTCTCACCCACCCTGCGCGCTTCAGCCTGATACTCATTAACCTGAGCACGCTGTGTCCTTGGCCACTGCTGGGCAACTCAGCTCTGCCATGCTCCAGATTCCTTCTTCCCCAAGGAGCTCAGTAAGATTTCCAACTTACGGCCATCTCTGGAGCGCTGTGACAGCCAAATGTATCTAAGCTCGTGCTAGCACACTGAACTCTCAGGCTCAAGAGTAGGCGGCTTCATTTCATTTCCCCATCCAATCCAGTACTGAGCACCATCACGCACCTCCACACACCTCCACCCTTTAGGTAAACACAGTCCCTGATTACCGATGTATTCTACTTTCTGTCCTATAGTAAGTGTTTTGCGGTATTGTGGGCCAAATTCTGGGTAGTGAATCCTCAGTTCTTTAAGATACGTTTATAATTAAGATAGATTTGTAATATTCTAATGTTGGCATTTAACTTTTCTTACTTCAACATTCCCTCAATTTATACATTTATTTCAGCATGTGTAAAGGGTCTATACCTATCTTTGAAATAATATGGGTGGGGTTTCTAAAATCCTGAGTGCTGCCAATGGGATGCCTCTTGGCCCCACTGTTATCTGGAGTGGAAAGAGATGGCGAGATTACGTAAGTAGGGAAGTCTGGCCCAAGACTTCCTGAGTCTTGAAACCAGGAAATAGTCTGAGGAAAAAATAGCTGTCAAAGGCACTTAGTAAGCACTCACAACACTCTAGGTGTATGTGTGTATGTGTGTGACAGAAATCATATCTTCTTTGCAAGTTCTTAAGCCCCTTTTAAAAGCCTCTCCTGTCACAATAAGACCTTTTACAGAAACCGCATACCACTGGAGAGGCGTGGCCCGAGGAAGACAGAAAACAATAGATCTTTGAGAACAGACCAAAATCCTTGTGGGGTTGTCTGCAGCGATGCAGGCTTGTCTGGAGTTGTCTGAGGCTAAAGTGCTGGGGCCTTTGACAGAGGTGACACCCTCCTTCCGAATCTTAAGAGTCAGACTTGATGTCTAGCAGAGAGCAGCCCCAAACCTCTTAGGATAGTTTAGAAGGTCCATAAAGGTAGATGACAGTACTGGGGGTGGGGGTGTGTGGGGATGGGGGTGGGGGGCACACCTTTAATCCCATCCCAACACTCAAGGAGGCAGAGGCGGATCTCTGTGAGGTTGAGGCCAGCCTGGTCTACAGAGTGAGTTCCAGGACAGCAAAGGCTACACAAAGAAACCTCGCCTCTCTAAACAAACAAACAAACAAACAAACAAACAAATAACAAACACAAAAGGGTAGAGGACAGCATTTCTGCTTGGTTTGTTTGTTTTTGTTTTTTTCACTGACTTCATGGTCAGTGCCCCTGTTCAGCTGACATGGAACCCTCTCTCTTTAATTGGTCGACATGGAAGAAGCACAGGTGTGAAGCAGATTGGCAAGATCCCGAAGGAAATAGGCTTTCTTCCTCTCAGGCAGAGCAGCCCCCCCCCC